GATCAAGATATATACTAAAGGAGTGGTGCCCAATATCAATAAACATCAACATTCTATCTGTCTGCTCATCATCACTAAGCTGCCTGAGACCATTATTACTGAGTGTAAGGATGGGGACACAATAGTATACCTTCAACCTCCCTGCCATCTCATAACCAATCTCCTCAATAAGGTGTTCAATCATAATTGGTGACCAGGTGACCTTCTCCAGATTATCGTACCAAATGGCACGACCATTAACATAAGCACGATTACTTCCATGCCCAACAAAAAATCCACCATGGTTGATTTGCACAGAGAAGTTGGTGCTTCGAGGGCCTGATACACAAGACAGAAACATCATGCATCACAATTGACTACATCATCATTTCATTCGAGTATCTAAAACCCTAACCCCCAAAGACCATCAAATCCAATACCGAAGCTCATGTACAATCCATCGAAACTACCAACTGCATACCATCTATAATGACAATGCGGGCCAAAAAGGAGTGTCTTTGAACATCAAAACGCAAAAAAAGTCGGATTTACGCAAGATGAAACTTACTGTACACGGGGGGAGACGCCCCTTCTGCGCGACGAACAGGGGCCATCGCCACCACCTACCGCCGGTGGAATTGACGCGGCGGCGGCGCCTCTCCAGCCACGGAAGAAAATCAGCACGCGGCGGCGCCTGTAGGCCGATGATCGCCGGGGCGGCGGCGCCTATGTAGCGCCTTCCCTGTCTCCAATCGAAGACGAAGAGGCGTCGATAAAGGAGCGGGGCGGACAGCGGTGGGGTGGTGCAGCGATTTTACACTTAACCCCTCGCCGCCAGATTGGCCTAATCGGAGCTGAGAACGTGGCGGTCAACAGGTGGTCAAGGGAGCGGCTACTCACCGCATACGACCAACAATGACTGTATATTCACGTCACATCGTATATAGTGACCGTAACAGCCGTATTTCTAAGTTCAGTGATCGTATCGGGCTTTTGACGCAACTACAATGACCGTGAGTGTATTTATCTCATAAAATTCTCAAAAGCATCAGGCTCACGCGCACGACGAAAAGGTAGAGAGAGGCGGAGCGGAGTAGTGCGTGGTTTCTTTCTCCACTGATGAGTCTCCGCCCACAGACTACAAGTCGTCCTCCTTTTCATTATCGGCACGGCCGCTTTGCCCCCTCGCCCCCTCCGCCTTCCGCCTCTCCACTCCCACCCTCCCCCTGTCAAGAAGGGTACTCCTCCGGCGACGGCACCGCCTCCACCCTCCCCGTCAAGTTCTTCTCCGGCCCGCCCGACCCCAGCCATCCTTTGACGCTTGACATCCTTGGTCCGCGGCGCCGCTTCCCCGGCAGAGAAAGGTACCTACCGTAAGCCAAGAAGGAGGTGATAAATGGGGACTCGTCTCCTGGTTTGTGCTAGATCCGTATCCTCCATATATATAGATCTAATCAGGGGATTCCTTTTTCTTCGACGCTTTTATTTTTTTGGTTGCTAACTAGTAGTAATGGAGATCAAAGTCTCTTTCAGACTTTTCAGATCGAGTCTCTTTCAGACTTCATCAGATAGATATATGCTACTAATTTTCTTCACATAGATTCTTTTCTTTGTTGTTGCTAGAATTGAGAGAAAAAGTCCGTCCGTCTCTTTCAGATTTTTTAGATCGACTTCAAACTTCAGATAGATTCACTAATTTTTTTCTGCAATTGCTATTTCTTCAGTTACCCAAAAGTTAAAGTATTGGTTTCAGTCAACTTTTTGAACCTGGTTATTTCCCAGGCAACTGAATAATAGCAGGTCCCAGTTTTCTCCATATTTGCACATACGGCTAATGAATAACACTAATTATGCATGCTTCAGGAGAATAACACAACCGAGATGGCGGATGGCGGCCAAGACAACGAACTTGCTGCTCTCGAGAAAGTGTTGCTCGACCAAAGTGCAGATCCTGTCGATCTGCCTTTCTCGCTTCTCAAGGCCATCACAGGAAACTTCTCTGAAGATAATGAAATCGGCAGCGGCGGGTTCGGAGCGGTTTACAAGGTAAGCAAGCAGACCCTCCGCTCTGAAATTAATTTACCGGAGACAATCTAGCTGACACGGTTCTATGTGAGATGCAGGGTGTGCTTCCAAGTGGTCATACCATTGCCGTGAAGAAGCTCTTTGAGAGATTTGAGATACTGGACAAGAATTTCGCAAGTGAGATTCCTCGGATATTGCTCCGAAACGCAACACGTGATGAGGCTGTACGAGGGGAGGCTTGTCTGGGCAGACGTGCAGCAGAGGTTGCTCTGCTTCGAGTACCTACCCAAAGGGTGCCTTGCTGACTATCTCTCCGGTAAAATCAGACTAGCCTTATAGCTTTCCTTGCATTTCTACTATATAGTAGTAGTAAATGTCTACCAACTGCAGTCCACAGTATTTATTGGTTGCCACTCTTCTGAGCTTTGTTAATTCTTTTTGCACACTAAATGGTAGTTTTCAGCTCTGTTCTTATTTCGCTGCACAAGATGCACCCTTCTCTTTGGACATATTTTAAATTCTCATCCTGTTTGCCTCAGAGAGAGGAGCGCACTAACAAATATCTTCTGTTGTGGATAGAGCTTAATCCAGTGATCAAACGAAAATTCAGAGCATCTCAATTTTCAAGCCAAATAAGTTGCAAGTCCACATATTTGCACCTGAATTTTGAAATGAAGTGGTAGTTACTTTTTTCCCAATTGTCACAACCATGTTTTGGCAATGAGATATGTGTTTCCAGAACTTCCTTCAAACTTGTTATTATATTGGCTTTGTAAATCGGGCAGTCATTCACGAAGGCCCTTTTTCGTTTCATTGGACTGCTTATCCCACCGCATATAGTACTATTTGTTGTATTGTATACTCTTCACAGATGCATCTTGTTGACTCCGGTGGACCACATGTTACCAAATAATAAAGGGGATCTGTGAGGGCGTACATTATCTTCACCAACAGCGTATTATTCACATGGACCTCAACCCTCAGAATGTACTATTGGATAATAACATGGTGCCTAGAATTGCGGATTTCGGTCTATCACGGCGCTTAAGTGGAAGCCAGAGTCGGGCTATTACTGATGACAAGCTTGGGACAACGTAAGCTAGCAATCTATTTGAGAACTTGATGTTTTTATCAATCATCTACCAACTTTGTTGCATACACTTTATTCACTAATCGAACAAGCTGCACCAATTTTTATGTAGGGGATATATGGCACCAGAATTCTTAAATAACGGAGAAATCACTTTCAAGACAGACATATACAGTTTGGGTGTTATAATCATGAAGATCCTTATGGGACATAAGGAGAGCTCCAGTGTTAAGGAGGTAATTATATTATATGCAACCCGTATATCCAGTGTGAGTATCTGATTAACATTATAATTTGCAAATGACAAGATTTGAATGTTGTCTTTGTGTGATCTTCCACAACAAAAATAAAATAAAGATGGTTTTGATTTCTAAAGTCATTATGTGCATCGAATGATTAATAACACTAAAATTAATCAAGTGAGAAATTCAAAATTGTTTGTGATAGGTATCCTTACATTTGGTTTCCAGTCCTAAATCAATATGGCTGCGTGTTTTTTCTATTCTAAATGTATGCTGCCCTTTTTATAACTAACCATGCATGGTTGTCAAATTGCAGGTAGTTGAAAGCTGGACAGACATGTTTGGGACATCAAATAGTCACACATCATTGGAAGAAGTAAAGGCATGTGCCGAGATAGGGATAGAATGTACAAACTATTACCCAGGGAACAGGCCGGCTACATGGTTTATCATCCATGGAATACTGGGTGACCCTGTAATTTCAAATTGGTCTGTTACAAGTGGTGTAGGTACCTCAACAGAAGGGCAGGTACAATCACTCGATAGTAAATGTATATGATCTACCAGTAATTATTTCGTGTTGTGTCATGGTCATTTTTTCATTCTTGTTGCAGATAAGCGTTGCCTTCAAGCTGGCGGATGAGTTGAAATTAATGGATGGTTCTGCTGCTGCACCATCCAAACTGCCACCATCAACGTTGGAGGTGGAGCAGGACGATGGCAAATTGAGCCAGGAGAGGAAGGCATCAAATGTGAGTGTGGCGACTAGGGTGACGAGCACCCTCCATGGCAAGCTTACCATGTTCATAGGCAAGGAGTACAACAAGTGTTTTTAGTGATTTCTCATAACCATGTTTTCAATTTTCTTGCAGATAAGACTCTCCAAGCTAGCGGATGAGCTGAAGTTGATGGATAATTCTGTCACTAGTGGAAAGCTGATGGATAATTCTATCACACCATACCAACTGCAACCATCGGCACTGGAGGTGGAGAAGCAGGATGGCAAGGTGAGACAAGAGAAGAAGAGAAAGGCATCAACCATGAGTTTGCCTACAGGGGTGATGCGCACCCTCAGTGGCAAGCTTACCACATTCATGGCGGCGAGTACAATATATGTTATTTAGCGATTTCTCCTATTCTTTTTCATTTTTTTGCAGACAAGCTTCTCCAAGCTGGTGGATGAGTCAAAATTGATGGATGATTATGGGCCTGCTTGGATCCAAGGGACTATTTTTAGTCTGACTAAAAATAGTCTCTTTTAGAGGCTAAAGTTCCAAGCACCCCTGACTAAAGAGAGGCTAGAACTAGTCTTGAGGCTAAAACTTTTTAGTCACATGAAACCTACTAAAATATGTATTAGCCCTCTCTCTCCTCATTTAATTCCTCTCCTTTAGCACATGCGAGTTCTGGATTGGATGGTTTGGAGGATAATAAATGCTCAATAACTTCATTTTAGTCTCTTTAGTATTTGGATCCAAGCATGGGTGAGGCTAGCAAGTTTTAGTCCCACTACTTTTAGTCATGGGACTAAAACGTATCCAAGCACCCTCTATGTTGCACCATTCCAACTGCAACCATCATTGCTGGAGGTGGAGCAGGAGGATGGGATAGTGAGCCAACAGAAGAAGAGGAGGGCATCAACCGTGAGTGTGGCGACCGGGGTGATGAGCACCCTTAGTGGCAAGCTTACCACGCTTGTCTACGATGAGTACAATAAGCGCAAAGAGGTGAGGATGCAGGCGTCCTTCCTCGAGAAGGAGTTGAGCACCATAAACGCTGCTCTCGAGAAGCCGGAGCTCATGGATGAGCTTGCTCCATGGGTAAAAAATTGGAGGGATGATCTCAGGGATATTTCCTATGACATGGAGAATTGCATTGACGACTTCATTCGCCAATCCGGGGATGAGGATGTTGAGTTATGCCTTTCCTGGGAGGCTGCTGAACTTCACAAGAGGTTGTGCGATCTTCATCGGATTTCCAACCAGATGGAACAGCTTAGGACTCTTGTCGTAGAAGCAAATGCTGGGAGTTACAAGAGGTTTATGGCTGTCGCTGTTGATCCTCGGCTACCCGCGATCTATCAGGAGGCAATTGGCCTTGTGGGCTTTCAGGAGGCAATTGGCCTTGTGCGCATTGATGGCCCAATGGAGGTGGTTTCCAATTGGTTGATGGATACTCAGAAAAAACTCAAGGTTGTTTCCGTTGTGGGTTTCGGAGGTCTGGGTAAAACTACACTTGCCAAACAAGTGTATGACAAGATCAGGGAGCAATTCGATTGTGTAGCATTCATTTCAGTTTCACGGAGGCCTAACATGAGAGTGCTTCTAAATCGCCTACAATTGAAATTTGGGATAAATGAGTCTTCTAGCGGTCGCGGGTTGGACGACATCATTGAAGAGCTAAGGAAGTATCTTGCAAAGAAAAGGTAATTACTAATTTCTGATAGTCACTTGCATTGGCTACTCATTTTAAATTTCAAGTAGCAAGTAATTGGTTATTGATGTTGGTGCTCGCCCACAGGATCGGTCACATAAAATTGCACGAACACACGCGCACAAAAAACTGATAGCCAAGGGCCCTTGTTGTGCCCTTATTTTTCTCCTCTTTATTTCTGTTTTCTCCTTTTTCACCATGGTACAATCTTCTCAGGGCTCTGCATATATATATATTATATATATCATCTAAACCTACTTGAACCAGCTCTCAGAGTACATGCCGGACTCGGCTTAAACACATAGGCCGACGCACATACCAAACTAGCACAGGAAAGTACTAACCGACTCAGCGCTAATTAAGAACCGGCGACGCTGATCACCCTTTACTAAGCCTATATAAACTGACTCAACCACAACTAGCACCTCATACGTGACCACTTCCTAGTAAAACTGTCAAAACTAAACTAGGTATTGTTTGGATTGCCTAACAACTGATATTACAGATAGATTGTTTTCCAATGCATGTGGGAAGTTTGATTGTTTTCCTGTTTGTACGTTTGTGAGATTTAAAATTATAAAGAAAATATTAGAGCAGAAAAACATCTGTAAAAAAATTGGTTCAAGTTTTGTCCATTTTTTCATTCAGTGTAATGAATTGCTAAGGGGGTCGGGAGGGAGGACCGAATACAAGTCTCGTAGGAGAAGAATGCTCGGTGGCTACAAATTACAGGCTTAAGGCAGCCAAATGACACTGAATGTTCTTCAACCAGGCATTATTATTCAGGCTTGAATATCATGTGATCATGCTAGTTCAGCCATCTGAGCAACAAATTTGCTTGCATCTTGTTCGTTTTAATTTTTGATGTTTCTGTCTTCAACTTACAGTCATACCCTGCTACAATATAACGATGTGCAAACATTTCAACAGGTACCTTATTGTAGTTGATGACTTGTGGGATCAATCAGCATGGAATACTATTAGTTGTGCTTTCCCAGAAAATGGAAATGGGAGTAGAATAATTGTAACCACACAAGTAGAAGATGTGGCTGGCATGGCCTGTCACAAGGACTGTGAGTGCATTTACACAATGAAGCCCCTCAGTGAGCAGAACTCAAGAATGTTATTCTCCAATAGAGTATTTGGGTCTGAAGTTGTTTGTCCACTCTATCTTAAAGATGTTGTGGCTGAAATTCTAAAGAAGTGTGGTGGTATGCCACTCGCAATTGTCACTATAGCTAGCCTACTAGCTACTCAAGTGAGATCAAGGAAACACTGGGAGAGCATAAGGAAATCTCTAGGTGCCCAATCCGCCACAAATCCTTCATTGAAAGAGATGAATAGTATATTAAAACTTAGCTACACCCATCTCCCTCCTCATCTCCGGCCATGTTTTCTGTACCTTGGTATGTATTCTGAGGACCACATCATACTACGGGATGATCTGGTTAAACAATGGATAGGTGAAGGCTTTGTCAGCAGTTTGCATGGGCCAGATTTGGAGGATGTTGGCAGGAGTTTTTTCAATGAGCTTGTCAATAGAAGCATGATTCAGCCATGCGAAATTAGCTATGGAGAGGTGTTGTCTTGCAGAGTACACGACATGATGCTTGATTTGATCCTAAGCAAGTGCGTAGAAGATAATTTTGTAAGTGTGGCATACAAATCTGAGGACATGGCAAGAATGCAGCATATCTGTAAATACAAGGTTCGCCGATTATCCCTGTGTTCCATGGGTGTTGGTGGAGCAACATATGACTCGGCTATTGCTGCCAGGCTGCCACAAGTTCGATCATTACTGTTCAAGACGGGATGTAATCCTATACTCCCTCTTTTGTGGTTCAAGTACCTCAGGGTTCTAATCATTTTGAAGGGGCACTATGTGTGGGAGGAGATAGTTGACCTCACCGCTGTTAGCCAATTGTTCCAGCTGAGGTGTGTGACGGTAAGTGCTTATGGGAAGATAAAGCTCCCTACTAAACTTGGTGAGCTTGTTTACTTGGAGACACTGGACATAGAAAAGTGCACACTGATGGAGAGCATCCCCTCAGATATAGTTCATTTGCCCCGCCTGTCCTATCTGCTTCTTCCAAATTGGACAAAGCTGGCTGAAGGTATTGGGAATATGAAATCATTGCGGACTCTGCGAGGGTTGGACATGGAAAAGAGCTCGCTGAAGTGTTTTATGGGTCTCAGCAAGCTGACCAATCTGAGGGAACTGCATATGTCAATAGATTTTAGTTTGGGGTTGTCAGACATCAGGGATTGCACATTGCCTGCGCTTCCTTAAGATGTTTTTTGAAGAGACATCAACTGAGGAGATTCATCTGCTTGGAGAGCTTCCCTCCCTCGTCCACCTCGAATTCAGAGCATGTGCAATCCCTGATGAAAGAGCTATGTTAGGCACGGGCCTATTCCCAGTTCTGGAGTCCCTGAAATTCTGGTCTAGTAAAGACACTACAGCGTACCTGGGCTTCGAGGCAGGTGCTATGCCCAGTTTACGAACGCTCTGGCTCAGTGCGTACGGTTGGGGCGGCACTGTACCAGTCGGCATGGAGCACTTGTTACACCTCCAGGAGATCCAAGTGCATGGGGTCTGCATTAATAAGGATACCTTAACTTGCTACACGTTCAAAGCCAAAGCGGTCAAGGACGCGTTCAAGGAGGCCTTGCTGAAGCACCCGAACCGCCCTTCCGTCACAGTTCTCGGTTAATAGCAGTATAATTCCCACATGCATCGTACTATGTATATCTTCCGCGGACCTGCTGGAGAAGTGAAAAGGGGCAGCTGATTAAGGCGCTCTTGATCTTTTTATATATGTAGTATATAGATACTGACATCAAGGAATGAGCTTTGTTTAACTTTTCCGGATGTGGTTGTGCTCATGACTGCCGATGTGTCCGCTGCATCTTTGTTTTTGACAGCTAATTAACGGTGGATACGGATTAAGATCTGTATTTTTCTTGTAATCTGCCTCTCTGTAATGGCTTGTAATCCTGATGATCGATAAATGAATGCTCCTCCTGATCGTGTCATGTTTTGGTTTTTTTGTGACCAGAATGCTAGCTTGGATTCAGACTGCGTTTTATCTAGTACATACAGTGCTTGCTTACTTGACATAAGCCCCATGGTGTCCTGTAATTGCTCGGTTAAGTAGTAAATACTGTACGTCTGTGTACATAAGTGGGATTGGACGGGAACTGTACATACAACCTTCTAATTCTGAAACTGAATCTTTATTCTCTCGTTTCTTAAAACTTTTAGACAGAAGAATCTCGTCAACTGAAATATTGTCCAATCTATTTGTTCCCGTATGTGAATATATGTATGATTTTGAAGCGTCGGCAAAAGCTTTGCCCTATTCTGAAGTGTTAATATTGGATAGATGGCAGTAACTGCAAGAAACTAACCGACTGTGTGCAAATTGTACATGTGCCTCATCTTGGAATTGGATGAAACACTTTTGTATTACTGTGTCTCTGAACCTTAACTGTCATTTGTTGGAACAATGCAGTCCATGGCGAAGTCTGTCTCCTACGCACGGGAGCAGGTGGAGCGGCAGCTGGCCCCTCCCGCTGTAGCAGCAGAAGCTCCTTTGGGACAAGAACTGACCCCTCCCGTTAATTATCCATAATCCAGCGCAAAAGAACACAAAAGTAGTCCCTTCAGAATTACTCCCTCCGTTCCAAAATAGATGACCCAACTTCGTACTAACTTTGTACTAAAGTTAGTATAAAGTTGAGTCATCTATTTTGAAACAGAGGGAGTACAAAGCGAGGCGGACAACGATGAGAGCAGAAACTATTTTCTCGATTTGCCCTGCATATTTAAGTCCATCCCTTTCTTTCTACTTTGCTGCCATCTCACAACTTGGGCGAAACAATAAAGCCGCGAACATGAACATCACATTTTTTCCATTCAACTCGGGGGGAACAGTTGAAGCAGACAGAGATGCCATGACTTGAGTGTTGTGCGAAACAGGTGAAGGAAGTCAATACAAAGAGTTCATAGAGAGTTGTACGGATCATGCCGTCTGCTATAGGGAGAACATGCAATTTCCTGAAACTGCGTCGTTAACCCGGTTAAATGGGACGCGGTTTTCGCAGACGGAAACTGCGTTTCATGATCTGCATTGGATCAGGGCAGTTTGTAACAAGTGGAGAAAAAAAACCCTAAGAAAAACAATAACGAAATAAAGAAAATAACAGGAAAAACAAAAGAAAGCGAAAAAAGAAGGAAAAAACTGAAGCTAAGAACAGTGAAGAAAACATGAGCCATCGAACGAATGGGTCTGGCCCAGTACTGTAGCGAGCGTGGGGATCCTTCGGTGAGAGCTCCTTCCATTTCGCTTAACGCGAGACATAGCTCTCGCGGGAGGTCTCGTGCACAAAGGCGCACCCCTCGCTCCTGAACAAAATTTGGGCTGGCCCATGTGCGAGCGAGTTGCGCCCCTTTTTTCCTTTCCTTTTCTCTTTTGTTTGTTTTGCTACATATTGTTCAGGATTTCAAACAAAAAACAAATAAACATGTTCAAGAATTTGAAAAATCCTCTCAGTTTGAAAACGTGTTCGCGAGTTCAATAAAATGTTCTTGGACTTCAAAAATATTTCGTGCATCCAAAATTATTTGCAATTTTCCAAAATATTCATGAATACAAAAAAGCAAAGTCAACACAAATGTTTGGTTATTTGAGAAAATGTTCACGAATTCAATAAATGTCTCAGAACTCCAAAAAAGTTTGGAACAACAAAAACATGTTTGCATGCGTTAAAAAACGTTTATGAATCTAAAAATAAGGTTCTGAGATTTAAAAAATGTTCAATATTTTTAAAAATACATATTCATGAATTAGGAAAATGTTAACTGTTTCAAAAACTGTCACAAATTCAAAAAAAAAATCTCGAAGTCAAAAAAATGTTCGTGAGTTCAAGAAATGTTCACTAGCATCAAAGAATGTTCAAATCCTTAAAAAGTGTTCACTAATATCAAGAAATTTTTTGTGAATTCCAAGAGAATATTCACAAGTTTATAAAAATGTTTACAAAATTTTAAAAAAATTCGCGATTATGAAAACTTGCTGCGAGGTACAAGAAAATATTCACAATATTTTAAAAATGTTCACGAATTTGAGATTGTTCACGATTTTCATAAAAGTACATGAATAAAAAATATTTAAAAAATGTTTGCGAATTAAAAAAGCTTGTGATGTGAAAAAAAAGAGAACTCATAAAAGAAAAGTAAACCGAAAAGAAACAAAATAGAAGAAAAACAAAAAACCAGTTTGTGGAACGTTCAAAAGTGATGGGCAAAAAACCTCTAGAGAAGGCTCAGATGAGGAGGGGGGAGGCTCGGAGGAGGTGGTCTTGGTGGTTGACCCAATTGGCCCTAGGTTGGAGATGGCGTACGGCGCTGTCAGCGGGCCGGCATCCCCCAACCTCTTGATGGAGGACGCATGGGAGCACTTCCTCCTCGCAATGGTGGAAGAGCACCTTGCGAGGGAGGTGCGACTCGAGGCGGAGCGCGCGAACGCTCCCGCCCTTGTTGAGCTCTACGCCGACTCATCCCTCATTATCGAAGCCCGAGCCATCCTTGAGCCCATTGAGGATGAGCAGGTGGTGACGACGAACCGCCGAAGGATGTTTATTCGTGAGCTAGAGTCGGAGGAGACTTTTGCAGACAAAGGACAAGGATGACCAGATGTCTCATGCCGCCAATGACCACGAGGCCGATGGTTTTGACAGTGGCGGAGCTTGAGCATAATCCAAGACGGGGCCATTAGCTGAAGGGAGGCAAATTAATAGGGCAGGAGGGGCTAATCTCTAGTTTAAAC